TATATATGACAAATTTGATATAAATATGTATTATATAAATATAATATATTTAATAAATATTGTTAAACCTTTAATACATCAGCAATAATTATTAAACATTAAATACATTTAAAAATTAAATGTATCTAATTAAATGTAATATAAATAATATGATTATAAATGTAAGTAGATGTAAAACTTAATCTAAAATTAACATAAATCTTAAAATTAACTACCGTTATATATTTTTATTTAAATTAATACAGTTTATATTTAAAACCTGTTTTTTTTTAAGCATTTTGTTCTAAATTTGTTTTAAACACAACTTACTAATGCTACAGTTGTTGTTGTTGTTGTTTTTTTTTGGTAAGTTACTAATTACAGAAGACAAATTGACTGGATAAATTCCAATCAAAAATAATGCCACAAAATAATATTTTATTAAAGCCAAAGAAACCACAACAGCTAAAGTCCTTTGTTTAAAAGCTAATGACTAAAACTCTCAAAATGTGAGAAACGTTATAGTGATGTCATTCTTTACTGTTTCGATAATATCAGAGAGATGGATGATTCTAGAAGATACAAACAATAGCCTAATCACTGTATACATAATGTTCATTGTGACTTTATGTCTGCAGATGGAGTTTACTTTCTGGCTAGTTCGATACTTCGCCTCAGGATTGCTGTTCCTGTTAGGCCTCAAAGCTCCAGGCTTGCCACGCCGACCGTACATGCTTCTGATCAATGAAGACGAGCGAGATGTGGAGCATGGTGTAGTAAGATATTAGATTCACTCTCAAATCTGCATGAAAACATCTTATTCTCTTAATTATTAATCTCATTAATACCTCTCTTGCATCTTTTTAGCCACTCTTGGGTAATTCTGATGAGAATCAGTCTACTTGGAAAGATTTTGGGAAGAAGGTGCGTCTGTTGGTGCCGTACATGTGGCCTAAAGGCAGCGCTACATTGGAACCTAGATTTAACATTTTATAAATTTGTAATACAACATTGCTTTGTCTCAATTTCTAAGTACTGCCCCCTAAATGTATATAAACTACAATGTTTCACTGCCTTAGTTAGACTTTTGTTGACTGCAGCACCACACAGCACGTTCTCAATTAGAGTCCTGCTGACGTTACCCAAGAGTCTCCTGGTCTTCGCTTCTGAGTTTCCAACAGGTGTAATAATGAAACAACTGTTTTAAAAAGTGATTTTTCATAATTTACAAAAATATCTGTGTTTTCATGGGTTTAAATAAAAGATTTTGTTACAGGAGACAAAAACAACAACAACAACTTTGTACATCAAAATTGGACAGGGAAAAAAAGACTTGACAGATTGATGTAACATGTCAGTATCTGAGTAACATGTAATTATTTAAGCCATGAAAAAAACATCATTCCCTAAAATAAATATAATGAACTACACAAAAAAAAAAAAACATTTCTCCTGCACATTTTATAATTACTGACGCGTCTGTCAAAAACTTTGTCTGGCTGTCGGTTGGAATATTAGTACTAAAAACATCAACATAATACACTCATGAAAATCAATCACTTCACTGAATACTTGCAGCTAAAACAATAAATAATCGTTACCTTAAAATCCATCTGTTTTTAAATCCACATCATTCATCGATCATATCACAACATCAGTGTCTGTCAAAAAATAACATGCACAATACATTCTCATATGCTGATACATAGATTTGGGAACTTATAATAATAATAATTAATTATAATAATCTATGCATTTAGCAGACGCTTTTATCCAAAGCGACTTACAGTGTATTCCCAGGGTGCGAACTACGGGGGAGCTAGGGGGAGCTCGGCTCTCCTTAATAAGACATGGGCTCCCCTGAAAACGTGATTTGTGAAATTTTGGGGGGTCTCAAAAAATATTGACAATGTGTTATTTTGACGTGCAATTTCAGTTTTGTGTAATGTGATCATCGTGGATTATTATGTGTAAAATTGCAAAAATATCATTCATTCATGCATGACGGCGATTTAAACCTAATTCACTTCAATAAAGATAACTATACATGCTATTCTTGTCATGAGCATCAAGGTGTGAGGGCGCTGCGGTGCAAATTCCACTCATGTTTAGTACATGTTAAAGGGGTCATATGATGCGATTTCAAGTTTTCCTTTCTCTTTGGAGTGTTACAAGCTGATTGTGCAT